AGACTGTTTTTCTAAGTAATCTAGAATCTAGCTGCAAGGACCCGCTTCGCTGGGCAAAAAGTAACGATAGTGAAGATTAAGATAATTACATTATAGCCAATCTTACCCGTTTTCACAGAATGCAAGAATTAGGTCCCCCGTCTCCAGACTAATTAGAGAATTTTTACGTCCAGTCAAACAAACTATTTTCAATTTGATCAATTTTCTGGAACATTTACAATCGTTCTATAATCGAACCAATTCAAATTCAAAAATTTTTTAAATCGAAATAGAAAATCTTTCACTTTCAACCACTTTCAAGCCCATATCTCCCGCACCCTTATAGCTATCGAGATGCACCACCATAGTGCATGAATGGAGACTTGGGGCTACTACCACATACTAACACCATTCGTGTGCAATGTGTAGTTTTGGCTAAAAAGTGAAGTATAGGGACACACACGTCCATTTTTATATATATATATATAAGCAAAAATGCTTAATTTTGAGGGTAAGGGTGGTTTTATAAAAACTGTAAATGCTAATAACAAGTAAAATAATCATAAAAGTTTGACATTACTTGAGATGTGATACATGTGAGAAGCTGGAGGTTAGAGAGTAATACTCTAAACCCTTTTTCTGACGTCTGGGATGGTAAGTCCTTGCTCAATTGTCACTGGATGGCTTGGATCCAAGTGACGAGGGGGTGGATATGCCGATAGGAGTTTGCGATATACAAGTAAGAGCTACCATCATAAAAATCAACAAATTTAATATAAAATAAATGAATACAAACTATAGGATTACAAACTTGAAACAAGATTCTAGGATGTTGCATTTCTAATTATAGGCCTCTGAGAGACAGAGGGTGGGGGGGTGTGTGTGTGTACAAAAATCAGTTAATTATCATACCTTGTTGCCATAGTGTCGGTCGTTTCTGCAGTAGACTATCCGGGGAGGACTGGGAAGACAGTCTGGAAGTCGCTTACACTAGCCAAAAATATTCCTTAGGGACTGATCACATTGGAGGGTAACACACCAAAACCAACAGATAGCTTTTTGTAGGATGATCACTTATCATATGATGAGAGCTGGTGGTCACCTATTCCATGTGGTAAACTTTGCCTCGAGTATGGCAGGGCAAGCCAAGACTATCTATGGCTTCTGCGGATGTCCGCCCACCCTGATGATCAACCACATGGAGGAATTTGGTCTCGTGACCTTGTGTTTTGTAATAATGACACCTTTGTGTCATCGCAGGGTCGGTTAGGGTGGTGGGAACTTGACTTGCTGTTCTCTTTTCATTGCTATATTGTTTAACTTTCGACCTTCACACTCATCAGTAATAATTTGTTATAACTTTATTTCAATACTTTCTCAGATTGATGAGAGAGGGAAGGGAACTTGTTGCGTCAAAGACCCCCCCTTTTACATGAGTTTTCTAGTTGATTGTTTACTATTAAAATAACACCTGCTCATCTGTTTTCTTATTTCTGTGGGAAACAGATGGAATAAGGAGAAATTTCTTATAACTTATCTATTTGCTAAAATTTACCAAAAGTACACTCCCTGGATCTTGTATATGCAATCTCCTTTATCTCCTCAATCCCTTGACCTTTAACCACCAAAATTTAATAGCATGAGTCCCCCTAATACACAAACCTCCCTGCTTGATTTCAGACATTTTTGACAAAAATTACAAAAGTTATTAAACTTCAAAGAGGATGAACAAAACTGTGCCCCCACGCACTCACAAACACTAACATCCATACATACAGGAAAAAAACCCCAAATTTTTTTGCATTTCTTGATATTTCAAGGCTTACTGAGACCAACAATGTAAAAATCTGATTGATTGCCTTACTTTCCCTCTGTTATATATAACAGAGCCAAGAAAATAGAATATATGATATAGCTTGTTCAGTTCTTAAGTGAAAAAAAATTATAAGATATCTTAAGATAGGAAAGTTTTTCCCCTTTTACAAATATGATTCAATGCACAAAACATTTAAAATGTTGAAAACATAATTTTCAGTAATGATTTTGATGATAAAATCAAACTTGGAAGAAAGAGTATTTTTAATTTTGTATGTTAGATGATGATGATAGAATGATCTGATAATCATGATAGAAAATTAAAGAATTTCTCCCAAATATACTCTGCAACTGTGATGAAGTAGAAATGCTGTTTTCCTAGAAATATTATCAACAAACAGACCATTGTTTACCAGTATTCTAAATGTATATTTGTATTTGTCTATAAGATCCCTAAATTATATTCATTTGTATTTATATATTTTCATGTCTGGACTTGTTTGCTAAGAGCTTGGTGTGTCTTTTTATAGCACAGAAATCAGTTGTATTTTAATATTGTGAGATTCTGGACACACCCTAATTAATTGAAATTTGATGTCAAAAACATAAATTTTTGAAAGTAATATTTTTCTGATTTTAAATAAAAGAATTTTAAGTTAAAACGAAAAGGAAACTGGTAAAAGTCACTTCCTTCAACGGAAGTTCGACATTTTTTTGTTTTCCCTTATCTCCTAAAATTTTAGTCACCCTGGGAACAGTCAACCCCTCTGTAAACCCCTACTCATCCTAAACATGTGGGAATAATACAATTCTCTGATTGGAGAAAAACATAAAAAAAAGGGATTCATGAGTATCATTCAGGGAGTACGCCAGAAGATCGCAAGGAGGACAGATGTATTCCATACCATCTCCATATGGCCAACGCCTATAACTGAATCTCAAAGTTTCTACTAAATGAGTTATTATATGTTAAATATAGAGAAGAATATGTTTATTGATGTGTTTTTAAAGAACTAACTAAGATAAGAACATTCGTATTAATATGAAATACAGAAGAAGATAATCATATTTTGAGGTAGTATGATTTTGATTGAAATTGTGATCTCTCTCTCTCTGCAATGGTACGAGGCGTGTTTTTAAAGTAAGTACCGTTTTAATATAACGCCGCTGGAGCACTGCAGTCGGCATTTAGCGCATGCGCGCTGCATACCTACATCTGTTGGGAAGCCACAAACGCCATTACGGAGCCAGTTGACTGTGTTTACTGTTGTTTGTGTGTTATTGAAATGCCACCTCTCATTGAGAATCCCGCCAACTGCAAAGTGCATGCCGTTATTCCTTTTCTCAGTGCTAAAGGCTCGAAAGCGGTTGAAATTCTCGCCAAATCAGTGAAGTTTATGGTGAAAGTGTTATGAATGATGGAATGGTACGAAAATGGGTTAGGGCCTTTAGTAATGGCCGCACAAATATTCACGATGAGGAATGAAGTGGGCGACCTTCAGTCATTATCGGCGATTTGATTGAAAAAGTGGACTGTAGAGTGAAAGAGAACAGACAATTCACGATTTCATCTTTATCTAAAGAGTTTCCTGCAGTTTCAAGAAGTGTTCTCTATGAAATTGTGACTGGATGATTAAATTATCGGAAGTTGTGTTCCCGTTGGGTGCCGAAAATGTTGATGGAGGAGCACAAAACCAAACATTTGGCCAGTGCATTGACTTTTCTTGAGCGCTACAGTGACGAGGGAGATGATTTTTTAAGCCGTATTGTTACAGGCAATGAAACGTGGGTAGCCTACGATACACCGGAATCAAAGCAACAATCCATGGAATGGCGACATTCATCATCTCCAAGGAAAGTCAAGTTCAAGCAAACAATTTCTGCTCAGAAAATCATGTGCACGGTGTTTTGGGACAGATACAGAGTATTGCTTGTTGATTTTTTGCCTCATGGTGAAACGATCAATTCAGTTGAATACTGTGAGACTTTAAAAAAACTGCGCCGTGCAGTACAAAACAAAAGGCGGGGCTTACTGATCAAGGGGTGTCGTTTTGCTCCACAATAATGCTCGTCCACATACGGCAAATCAAACTCAAGACCTAATCACATCATTTGGCTGGGAACAATTAGACAACCCTCCATACAGTCCCGACCTAGCGCCGAGTGACTATCATTTGTTTCTGCATTTGAAGAAGCATCTGGCAGGGCAGCACCACCATAACAATCACGACGAAGTCAAAACGACCGTTCTGCAGTGGTTGTCTCATCAGGCAGCAACATTCTTTGAGGATGGAATACAAAAGCTGGTCCCACGATAAGTGTCTCAATATTAATGGGAATTATGTAGAAAAGTAGTGTAAAATATGGGCTTTCACATAAATAAAAATTTTGTTAAAAATGTTTGCTTGTTTTTTTATATTTCAAAACAGTACTTACTTTAAAAACACACCTCGTATAATTAGATATAATTGAAGCTCCATTTTGTATAGTTTTTCTTTGTTTATTAAATACTCGTTTTTATATTAAGGTCTAAATGTCAGAATCAAAACATTTTATCATCTCCATCACTTTCCAATACGCGTGTTAATCCGTGTACGATAAAACTGATTAACTGGTGTCAAGGATCCTGATGAGATCTAGGATTCATCCCCTAGATCTTCCTTTTTAACATAATAGTTAAAGCCCACCACACTTGATTTATTTAGATAGAAAAGTCATTTTTTTTTGGACAACCCGAGGGCTATTCTAGAGAATAGCCGCCGATTAAGTGATACTAGAGTCTTACCTGCTCCATATCCCCGGCTAGCCCCTCACAATATGTTGATATTTTTTTATAAATAAAAAATTGATTGTGGCTGAGTAACTATAATACATAACATTTTTACTGTTTATATTGAACAAATGACCAGTCATTTATAAATAAATCATTAAAACAAAAATTTCTGGGAGAAGAAATTAGAATACAACAGTGGCATAGCATAGTGGGGGCGGCAGGGGAGGCCCACCCCGGGCGTCAAACTTTCACAATAAATAATAATAATATCTTGTAAAAATTTGAATCATTTTATTTCATATTTTTGTCGCACCTACGATTCGGACCGATTGAAATGAGCACGGAACTTTTTATTACTTATTCTGTGACGAAACTTTTACTTTTAGCAGATAGGGGATGAAAGGCTACTCAAAGGCTACTCAAAGGTATCGCCTGGGGTGAAAATGGAGAAGAAAGATGATTTAGAGGAAAAGGCTGAAGGTGAAATTATAAAGGAGGATAGGAAAGGGGATGAAACGGAAATCTCAAGGACACCTGTATTGCTTTTATTTAAAACAAAATTAAAAATTTACATACAGTTGTGAAACAGTAGTAAAGAATTACAGAAGCACCCTAAATGATTGGCACGCAAACATAACATATTTACAACATCCATTGTACTTACAATGAGAGAACTGACAAAGTTCCTTATGATAAGACAAACAATATGTACAAACAGAAAGATGCCCATGTTACAGAAGTGTCATAAGTGAGGGACACTTATGAGTAAATAGACAAAACATTGCGACTTGCAATAGAAGATCGACAAGACCATTAACACAGAGAAATAAATAAATAATAATAATAATAATATGAAACTGAATTTTAGTCTTTTAAATTGAGATATGTAAATAAGCGTGGGTGTCAGCCGCCTGGGGCGGAGAAATTTTCCTCCGCCCCAGGCGGCTGACACCCACGCTATGCCACTGGAATACAATATTTGTATTTTAGCATGTTTGAACTGGATGAACATTTTATTACTGTGCTTTGTTTTCTTTGGACATTTATCAAAAGAGGCATGCTTTGCTTTATGAACCCACTTACACTCTTGTTCACTCAATTGCTCTTACACCAAACCATATTCAAAGTAAATAATAATAAGTTTCTGAAGCAACACACTTCAGCCAACATTGTATCATTTATCAAAGCAATCCCAAAAACTATTTTTTATATTGTGATATATTTAAGAACTTTTGTCACTACTGTGACCTCACTATGTTGCTGATTGCAACCTCCAATCCTTCAATTTCAATTTCCTTTTAGGTTCATATATTCATTTAACAGGAAGGACTGATAAGATGTTGTTATGGTGAATATCCAACAAAAAAGGATATAATAGAGCTTCCTGACCATCCTTACTTCTTTGATCTTGCTTCTTTAGACTTTTTATTTATTCTCTAAAATGAAAGTCAGATTTCAATCAGCAAGAAATGAAAATTGCAGTGAAATAGCTTCCAAAACTGTTTTGACAAGGGATGTGAATGCTGGCAGAAATGTATTACTGCAGGCTGTTTTTGAAGATAGTATGGTGAAGTGTTGTTTAATGCAACTTAAGCAAAAAATTCAGTTTGTTTGACTCTATTTCATGTATACATTTTTTAAAGTTATAAATACTGTTTTATATGTAAAAAATTTTAATTTTTAGGTTCAAGTTGGAGATGGTGAACACCTTCATGTGAGAGCTCATAAATCATTTCAAGGTGAAGTCACTCTTTCAGCTTATCAAGAAGGAAAAGCTTTGGAAGATGAAATAGTGTATTTTCAATAACATTTTTGAATCATTTCTGTAAATGTAAAATCTGTTAAAGATATGTAAGATTATAATCAGAATCTTTATATTTATATTGTGAATTATCTGTGGATTATAAATGCATTTCATATATAAAATGTTTATTTTTTTAAATTTAATATTGAATTTGTTAAACTTATAATAAAGGAAGGAATTTAATAAATTTATATTTCTGTAATTACAAATTAAACAAACTTTATGTATAAATTCATAATAAGTTACAGTACAGTTGCCACTTGTATTAAAATTTTATTCTAGAATTTCTAATGATTATCTATAACAGGACTTTCCAGTGGGGTTAATGAAATTTTGAAAGGGGGTTTAGTGAGCAAGTTAGTTACAAATTGTATTTACTAAATAATTAAATATTAAATTAATTATATATGCATGTACAATCATTTAAAACTTCTTGAAAATATTTTCAAAACTTTCCAAATATAAAAAATTTTAAGGGAGTCAATGGAAAAAATTATTCTTAAAGGGTCAGTTGTGAAAAAGGTTGGGAACCTCTGATCTAGAATATTAAGATTTATGGAGAAAAGCATATTTATATGAGATTTAGGTAGACAAAAAATTTAAATAAATATTTTTTATATGACAAATTAGTTTCTAGTTTAACAGGATTAGATAGGAAGTTCCTGTTTTCTTCTAGATCTGTTTATATTTCATGGCAAGTCTCTTAATTTGTCTGTAATTTGCATTTATTACTTTGTGCAATTATAAAGTATTATACTCAAGAATATATATATACCCTAATATATATATTCTAGGGTATATTAGGGTTATATATATATATAACCCTAATATATAACTTATATATTAGGATTTTACTGAAAGTTTTTAACATTTTCAGAATAATTTTAATTCTGTCTTCAGATAAAAATATTTGCAGTTCTAAATATGGAATGAAAATTATAAAATAAACTGATGCATTTTCCAGACTGAATTATCATCAATATTTTATTTCCATTTGGTATGGAGTTACTGACACCTGTTCCTTGTGAATGGGACAGTTGGATTTATCATACATTTTTCAACTGCATACCCTTCCTCTCAGCAACTCTTCCTCTTTGTCTTTACTCTGCTTGATATTAGTTAGAGCTACCAGGATCAAGATAAGAAGTATTGTTAGATTACCAATCATTTTCTTTTACTTTGGCATGTAGTGTGCATTTTTGAGGTTGAGTCAAAAAGTAAGTTGCACTTGTACCAAAAATACAAGTATAAAAAATTTTTGACCCCTATGTTTCATTTGTATGAATTTATACAATCCAAGGGCTACTTTTCAACATAATCACCAAGCTTATTTATCCTAGTGTGGCAGGAGTTTTCCTTTTCCTTCTTGGAAGTATTCCCATCCAATATGCGATAACCATTCTCATGTTGCATTTGTGATGTCTTTCTCTGACTTGTATCAGTGATTTGATAGGTCTTTTATCATGGGACCAAACACACGGAAATCAAGGTCTGGACTGTAGGATGTTCTCATATAGTCCATTTGAATTATTCCAGTAAGGCCTTCATGATGCTCGCTGAATGAGGTGTGGCATTGAAATGCAAAAGTTTTCTCACTAATTTCCCTCAATTGGTGTTGAATTTTAGTGGGGGTTATGCCTTTTAGCCCACAAGAAGAGTCTCTGCATGAACTTCCAATTTGGATGCTACATCTTTCATGACTGAAAACTGATTAACCTCTGCAGTCACATCAACAAATCTATTCCTTGTAACCTGAAGTATTACCAGTATTGCCACCAGATTTTGTCTCAATATCATTTATAAACAAAAACTTATTGCACCAATTGCAACTTACTTTTTGACTTTTGCTCGTAGTTTTAAATCAATGCTAAATATTAAGTATTATTTATTACAATAAATATTTAAAGTAAACAATTATTTCTCATGTTTTATATATAATTATTAGTTATAATACTATTTTGAGGTTATGTTTATTTTATTACAACTACTGTATACATATTTTATATTTAATTTGTATTACTCCACTGTCCATCTTGGTGCAATTTGTGAATATAAATGGAGGTGATAAGTGGAAAATTGTAATTTTTCCCATCTTCAAGATGAGGAGAAAAATTAATTACTTTATAGTTTTATCCTTACAACAGTCTAGAATTTTTATATGAATACAAAACAAATTAAATTTGCTTAATTCATAAATTATATATTGAATTCTTATTTTAAAACATTCAGAAGTAAATGCTACATTGCATTAGAAGTATTTTATTTATCAATTTTTAAATAAGGAAATGTAACTTTTATCAACTAATATTTTGTAGAAAAAATTAACAAATATATATTTGTTAATTATAACTATTTTAATTGTCTTCAATTATGCAATCTGCAGATTTAATAAGATTTGTCCTGGACATCATCCAATTAAATGCTGTTATTTTATTTTGTTTAAGTAACTCTGTTCCAACAATTTCACGAATTTTTAAATTATAATTATTCAGCCAATTTATCTGAAATTTACAATACACACATTAGTTTTATAGAGAGAAATAAGTACAGTTTTGATGTATTAAATTTTTTTATTACCTGAGATTTACTCAATAAGTCATATTTTATTAAATGAGGTTCAAAGGGAACAAATGCAACTGGCTCAAATGTGTAAAATGTCTTGTTATCATACCTATACTAAAAATTGATAAAAAATAAAGTTTATTCAGACTTAAGTTTTATGAATTATAGTAGTTTATACTTACAGGTGGATCGGCTTCTATGACAGTAACAGTAGTCTCCAGTCTAATGCCAAACTTACCTTTCTCATAATAACCTGGTTCTAAACAGAAAAGATATTGTTTGTTGATCCATTTCATTAAAGGTGGCTCCACACATTTGATATTCAAATAATTGCCTATTTGTCCCTTTTGATTAGGTACAATATACAAGGAGTGGGAAACTACAAATACCAAGTATTAGTGACGAGTAAATCATCCACACTACTTGACATTTGGTGAATACCAAATGTATGGAGCCACCTTAACTTATAAAATGTATTAAATTATATTTAAATAATAATGTTTATAACTAACAAACAGTTTAAGATGAAGACTACATAAACAACCTATACAGACATTGATATTGTCAAGTTGTGTATATATATAATCATTATTATTTAATTTACAGACTTTGTTGTAAACTCTTTTAATTCTTTATTTAACCCCAATACAATTATATGAATTACATTATTCTAAATTAATACAAAAATTTTTTAATACAAACCATCTGATACAAACATCCCAAGTTCAAGTTCGGAAGCCTTTAAATACGTTTTTGGATTTCGAATACGAGTGGGACCTATAATTTAAAAGCATGCATGTTAAATTATGCAGAATTTATTCATTTTTTTATTGATAATCTGACGACGGAGATGTTTACCTTCGTGTACGTTGAGGAAATGCCCAATTCCGTGGCCTGTTCCATGCTTATAGTCGAGTCCCACTTGATATAAATGTCTTCTTGCAAATATATCAAGATCGGTATCTGAAAATCATAATTCGGGAAATATTTATTTGTGAAAATTTACCTTTTTATGATGCTTCTGCATTTGGTGCAAACCCAATTTGTTTTGTTTCTTTGCAACAAATGTAGAAGCATTGTGAGTAAACAAGAGAGATCAGTCTCTAATTTGATTTCATGATCTTGATTTCATCAAGAGCACAAAATTACACAAAACTGATGATTATAAAAAGAATTTCTGAGAGGCTTACAAAATAAAAGCTTTCAAGAGAAATTTACCTCTAGTTCCTTTTGGGAATATTGTTGTGGCAAGATCTATTACTCCCATAAGAATTCTAGTGTATGCTTCCTGAAAGTATAACTTGTTATAATAGTAGATTTTATATTATTTTTACTCTTATTTCACAAACCTTTTCAAAATCTGTAGCATTTCCAAAGTGGAATGTTCGAGTGGTATCGGTTGTTCCATCTCTGAAATAAAAATCAAAAGATAAGTACTCAAAAAAACGTTGTATAATCGAAAAAATGTTTTTAAACTTACAGATATTGTCCTCCTGTATCCAGCAGATACATGTTCTCTGTATCGATTGCTTTATTAGTTGCTGGTTTAGAAGTGTAATGAATTATAGCACCATTCGTTCCCGAAGCAGAAATACTGTCAAAACTATCGCCTCTGTTTAATTCCTGTTGTCTAATAATTTAAACTGAAGAACTTAAAAATAATTCTTTGGCTTTTTAATTCTTTATTGTATAAATTTACCTTCTGAGTTGGCTAATTGTTTCCATGGCTTTCAATTCGTCCCAATATTTACCATGTTTAACATCATCTTCCAGAAGAGCCACAAAGTCAATAACAACAACTGAATCTTTGATCTGGTGATTATAAATAATTATAATTATTAGATATTCTATAATAAGTAGCCTGCATCTGGATCTACACACACCGAATTTCCATATTTAGAGATTCAGATAGTTTAATTATGCATAATGTAAAAGATAGATTCCTTGAAAGTAGAGCATCAAGCAAACTCCTAGTAGTGATGTTATTTAGAATTATGATACACTAGAAAAATGGCATTTAATATAAAAATTGCCCATAATGAACCACATTAAAATGAAAATACATTAATTAAGGATTATCTATGTATTAGTTAATGATTCTTTTTATAGTATATAAGAAATATTAATGTACAGAGTGCAACAACATTCCTACACTGTCTTTTTTTACCATCATTGGGCTGCAATTTGAAAAAATTGTAGACATAAATTCCCTCTGTTGTCCACCCTTCCTTAATCTTGAGAATGGAGTTAGATACATGAAAGTCAAAACTGGATATAGAAAGCTTAGGACAGGAGGCCCCGATTAACTACATACAAACTTCCGATGCAAACCAGAAGTCATGTTATTTCGATTCAAAACTTTTCCCCCGAAAGGAGTTAGATGACCAGCACGACTTCATTGCTAATGGAAAGGTATGATGAATGGGCAAGACACTACAGTATTAATTTTAGTTGGAGAACATATATTTTAAATTAAATAAATTAAAAATTGCAGCCTGGCATTGTGATGATGTCACTAATTAATTGCTCATTCTTTACTTAAAATTATTTTTTCTCCATGTTCTGGACCTCCAACCTCAATGTAGAAGTCATTAAAGCAATTAATTACTTTTAGCACCAGTTGCAAGGCAGAATTAATAAATTTTCTATAGATATCTCAAAGTAAATTGTCACGTGCTATTAAGTCCTCATCCAATTCACTGTCAACTGAATTTGTGATCGGCCAGATAGTTGATGTAGTTAAGGTATTATCATACTGGTTTGGAGGATGCGAGATCAAATCCAGTTGAGCAATCCCAGGGATGTGTTGGAGGTGATCTTCCTGGGTCTAGATTCTGGGTGTTTTGGGAGATCAGGGGTGTTCTGGGGTTCTAACATACCCAAATCCATGGTCCAGGACATAAGGATTCTGTAGCCACTCTGGTCATACTGAAGAAAAATTCAAATATATTTACATGAGCATCTTTCATTCCTTGAATTTCAGTTGGATTTTTTACAGTCTTCATTAATAATACAGGTGATTCTTTGACTATTCTCTTTTCCTATTAACAAGATCACAAATTATAATTATTTAAGTGTGCAATTTCAAATCTAAAAAAACTGATCTTACTTCAGGAATTAAATTGTAAATAGCATAACTTGATTGTGAAGTAACTAATACTTTTCCTATTTTATCTGCTAGATTTTCTATTTCGGTATAGACGTCTGCATAATCTTTCAGCTGTAATAACAGCATTTCATTATAATAAATTGGGAAAGGAAATACTGATAAATATAAAGAATCTCTACCTGAATTAAATAATCTTCATTAGACGAGTTAGATAAATAATGTCTGACTTCATCCGTCATTTTATTTTGGTCTACATAAAACCTGAATAATGATTATATCAATTTGTAGATGAATTTAATGATTCTTTTATAATAATGTGAGCAATTATAATAAATTTTAATGGATTGAAATTCATTACCTCATTTCTGTTTGGCAGATGAGTGCGAAAGATTTGAAAACTGGATTGAACGGAACATCCGAGCCTCTTAGATTAAATAACCCTGAAACAAAATTTCGGAAATTGTTGGACTGATCAGAACTTGATAAGAAAATTAAGCTTTAATCAGAGTGAGTCTCAATATCTTTAAAACTGTGCTTTTGAAATGCACTGATTTACCTTTTAAGGTATATATTATTTCATAAAGCAGCAAAAACAAAATAATGTTAACCATTAAACACTGAGTGTATTTTTTTAAAATTTACCCTGTGTAGATGAGCCATAAACACTTGGATAGCACTAGACACGAGGCAGTTGAGGTGTCAACCTACCAGTTCAATAGATATGGGTTTGAATCTGGGTAGGAAAAGAAATTTTCTCAAGTGGAATGACCGGTTCTGTCCCACATCATCTATTTGCCCTGTTTGGGCACAGAAAAAGGACTGCCTTAGTGCCAGCAAGACACTTAAATTTTAAGGTTTATCACTTCAGTAAAGCATAATATTCTTGTAAAATTAAATCATTTTAGTATGAATTAAACCAAAATTTAACAGTCTGTTTTTAAATTGAAAATTACTCACAAGCTACTTCATCTAAAGCAGTCACTATGATACAGTCTGCTTCCTTATCTTTTATTTCTGTTCTGAGCTGATCTATTTTTTCTTCCAAAGATTTTCCTATAAATGCAATAATTAATAAACATTAATTTTGATTTTAAATTAACAATTAGTTAACGATTTTGAATATATTCAGTCATTCATAAAAATCTTTAGCAGTGAGAAAGGTTTTTGTGGTGATTATTTGTGGATTTTATATAGCAGTTTAGTATGATTTAACAGTTGCTATCATTTGATCTGTGTGATTACATATCACATAGATAAAATGAGTGATTATAAGTGAGCATTCTCAATATTTAACCAGTATCTATAATCTTTCAGCTGTAATAAAAGCATTAGATTAGTGATGAGCAACCTTTTCTGGATATGGGCATAAGTGAATTTTGTAGACTTCCAGCAGGTTACATGCATTTTATTTTATAAGAAGTTGCAGCCTGCTGAGTACCAACATACTCTGTAACCCATAATGCTAGATACTAAAATAATGTGTGCTAATAATATATATATATATATATATAGTTTATTCTCACATTTTTACTGGTTGAGTTTAGTTTGAATATTCTTTGTCATGAATATTAACATAATTGGGGTTGTGTAATGGCTCAAATTAGAAAACAAGACAATAAAATTGTTACCAATGCCCCAGGGTCACATATTTGGATCATGCAGGTTGCATGTGGCCTATGGACTCAGGTTGCTCATGATTAATCTATAAGATACTCAAAATGTGTTTAAACTGTTTGAAAGTTGTCAGGAGAGGAAGAAACACTGATCCTGTTCTCTCGATATTGAGAGCAATTGACCTAGCACAGTAAATCAAGAGATGCGCAAACACTATACAGTGTGTCTGAATCGAGACTGACATTTTAAATTGCAAAAATTTAGTGCATGAAGATAAATTCATTTAATGCATTGTATGTGGAAGACTAACTGTGTAAGTTTCTAGAATTAATTGAGATGTGCAGAGTAATTAGTTGTGGCAATCTATGGCCTCCACAATACTCTGACATTACGCCTCTAGACTCTTCTTCTGACAATACACGAAGGACAGAGTTTATGCCAGTACCAAAATCAATGACCTCGATGAATGTTGTATGCATATGTAGCATACAGCATGCTGTTGCTTCTGTTATGCCACAGATGTTGTCAAACACTGCAGGAAATTGAATATTGTTTAGGCAATCCCCGTGCAACAGGAGGAGCAAATGTGTAGATTTTATAATTTTGTGTATAAAGGAGTTAAGATAGAACTGTACTGATTTTTGCAGTAAAACTTGGTGAGTTTGTCTTCAAATTGCATACCTTATTTTTATTGTAGTTTTTCCTTAATTTTACTTATGGACTTTCAAAATGTGTCACTCTCAATCCAGATAATCTGTGTTATTTGCAAACCAGTTTTAATAATCTTATGCAAAATGAACAGATTAAAACTGGTTTTAAAATATTTGAGAAACACTGCAGTTACTTTTCAACAGAGAATTAAAAAATATATTTTTGTAAATTTTTATAACATTAGTGTTTTTAATTTTTAAATCATACCTGCATATTTAATATCATGAATAAATATTTTGTCTGTTGGAGGGGAAGGTCTACCATTGCTCTCTGACCAGATTTCGTCGATCAAATTTTTATAATCTCCTCTTAAAATCACTCCAGACTTTGCTAATTTTTCTTCCCATTTGATCCACTGAAAAAGTTTATGATATTGTTAAACAAAATATTAAATTATCAAAACAATTTACAACACAAAAGTTTTATTTCATAAATTTGGTGGCAATTTTAGATGCATGCAAATTTATGCATTTGTCTAGAGCAGGGATTCCCAACCTTTTTCATGTATTGAAAGAAGAATTTTTAAGAAAAATTTTTTCCATCAATCCCTATCTATATATTTAATATGTGTGTAATTTACTCATCAACTCCATTGGGAAGTCCCAAGGTCTATAGCCTTGCACTTTCAGGAGCATCAGATGCAAATGTATATTTATCGGTACTCAATCTTGGCCAGTTATTCAGATTTCAGACCTTGTACAATATAATATAATACAAACAGTATTGTTACAATATTGTACAAATTGTTACTTATATACATGCGTAGAGATTCAAATAATCTAAAACCACAGCAGCATTAACTACATATATATAAAATAACCCTTTTTTAACTTTCTACCATGTGGATGCTAAGAGGACCTTTTTAACCATATCAATTGCAGGCACACAATGGTGCAGCCCATTGTGTGCCTGCCGAAACCCAAGATGGTACTTCTGGGAGACAGGATCCAACCTGGTCATGTCAGATTACCCCCAAAAATTTTTCCGGGGTTGCTTGCCAGATTTGATCTTAGGACAATCCCTTAACCATTTCAGCCATCTCACTACCATCTCCATTTGTTAAAATATAAATCAATTTTAAAAAATTACAGTTTTTTGATTAATAAGACGAGGATCGGCTCCAACTACAGAACCATTTGACAGATTTTTGATTAACCACTCAAAAATTTCAGGAGTGTCATTTTCATTTTCTTTCATCAGTATCCAGTTACAATCTAACTCGTCTTCAGCTTGTAAAAAGTAACGTCCATCCGTCCAAAGGGCGGCTTTGTCCAGTAAAACAACTGCCGTTCCTGTTGACAAAAATAACATTATATAAAATCGAACTAGTTACTATAGTTAAGTAATATGCCTTTGACAGTGGGTGAAGTTGGAGAAACACTAACATTTTCAGACAGATTAATGGGCCATTCACTTTTATCTGTCCACACTTGAAAATGGGCATTAATTGTATCCAAAACATCAGTGTTTCTCTGTCACCACTGTTAAAGGTGTATTGTTTAATACGGTAGATAACATTGCTTAAAATCTTACCTGCAGATCCACTAAAACCAGATATGTAAGTTCTTCTTTGATCATATTTAGCAACATATTCACTCTGAAAATATGTTTTTATTTTTGTATTTAAGCTTTGCATTATGATACAGATTTATTGATAAATTTTAAAATAATTTACTTGATGTTCATCATCTGTAGGTATAATGTAAGCAGAATAATTGTTCTCCTTTATTTTCTCTCTCAGTTCATGAAGTCTCTCAGAAGTATTTACTTCTACGACAGGCTGTTAAAGTTTGTATTGGTTAATACAATATTATATAACATTGTTTTTTAATGTGTTAAATTTGTACTAGTTGCATCATTTTTATAAATTTTTAATCCACCAAATTATTGGAATGTAAAATAATGAAAATATTATAAAACTCTTTGTATATTTAAACCTTATAAAATTAATGAGCAGATAAGCATTTATTAGTAGATAGAGATGATCTAAGTCTCAATTTTTCCTGTTAAATTAAAGGCAAAAATCACTAAGAGAATTTTTGTCATGTCCATCATAGGTTTGGTCAAGATGGTGAGAAGACAAGGCCGATATGTTTGGATCAATTTGAGGGTCCAAGGTTTTGATCCCTTAGAATTTTTATGGTTTAGAGCAGGGGTGGCCAAACCGTGGCGCATGCGCCAAACTTGGCGCATTGGACGATTACAAGTGGCGCTTTAGTCAGTTCTGAGCAACATTGCCAGATTTGGCTTCTTTGCAATTAAGAATATTACATAGAAAATTAATTTTTTATAGTCTGTCTTGGCAAGTTCATTTGTTGCACAATTCGTTGCAATCAACTTTACAGATAAAATGAGTGTTCTCCACATAGTAAATTACAGTGTATGCATGTATGTTTATTTTCGATCAGTGCATAGGCGTCTAAATGACAGTGCTACCGTCCGGACAGTCCACGAGTCGGTTGGACTGCTACACCTGTTGACCTTTTTTTTTTTTTTTTTTTTTTTTTTTTTTTTTTTTTTTTTTTGCTTCTACGATTCACGATACATTCGCAATCGTGTATGCCACTAATGTCAAATGGGACTATTTTGTACGGGTAACTACACCACCACCGCATTTTTTATTAATTTTTTTTTCACACAACTGAATTTTGATCTTTTAAATTGAAATACCTGATTAAAGGGTGGCCGAAATTTTTCTCCGCCCCGGGCGGCTAACACCCACGGTACGCCACTGCGCATCTGAACTCGTCTATCAAAAAATTGGCGCATGGTATGCAAAAGGTTGGCCACCCCTGGTTTAGAGTGACAGAACAGATATTTCAAGTTGCACAAGCCAATGCCTTTGCCACTTGAAATATCTCTTCATTATATCAATTTTAAAGGTGGGAGTTGTTACGTACAGTACATCTAGTATATTTGTTTAGTGATTATGATGACGAAAACGATACAAGTCTCATAAGAATAGTAAGTAAACTTTATGCAGACACAAGTGATTTCTGCCTTTTAATCATGCGGTTCTTTAGATACTTTACAGTGTCCAAAACATTTTACTTGCATTAAATCTTTAATTTAATTTTGGTTTCTTGTTATCAATTGTTGTTTCAACTTGAATTAAGCCTGTGTGAATTGGGTCTTTAATAATATGATTTCATTTTCCTTTATTACCATCAAGCCTTTCAGAAGTGATCTGTAACAGAATGGCAGGAATAGAATTACAAGCAACTATCACTGGAGCTAGATTCTGGATCAAAAATATGAAAATTCACGCAGGAAAAATTGAGACTTTAAGTTAAATTCAATGCATAAATATTAATTTAGAATTCAAAATTGTATTTAAAAATAGATTAAGTTTGTTCATTGCACTCAAAATAAATTTAATAATTTTATTTAACATTTATTTGGTTTTAAGTATTCATCGAAATGTAATGATTCCAAATACAGGGTGGTTTGCTGGAGCTGAACACTTATTATGTGGAATATCTCTGTATAGAATGAAATGATGAGCATGAAACATGATTGGAATGATTCTTTACTTCATGATGAAGCAGTCAACCAAGGTATGTTTTACATTACAGTTGAATGTGACTATAGTCAAGAGATATTGAACAATGTTCAGTCGTTAGTGAATTGCTCTGTACTTTAATTTAATTTTAGAAAAAATTCAAAATTTCCGTATGAAAATTGTATGTAAATGCATTGTATTTTGTAATATAAAATACTAACAATGTTTTTAATTAAAAGGCAAGTTGAGCAATTCAGATTAACCGGAACCAACTTACATTTTCAACTTGACATTTTATTCCTTCACCCGTATCTCTCTCTCTTCTTATGATAGTCAATTCATTGACTTCTGAGCATGTCATAGGTGAAATAATCTCCAAATATACTAGAAAATAAAACATTTATCAGTTATGAAACAGAAAAAATGAATTATTTCTTTACACATTACGTCAGTATTGTGCTTTTTTCAATCAAAGTTTGTGGGAAACAAATGAAAGGGTTGCTCTTACTCCCGCAATAGCTCCATATCAGTATCTGAGCACATTGTCTTTGCCTTTTTTTTTCAAAGTAGTTATCTATTTGCTGTTTAGAGCAGAGCTTCTCAGAAAACATTTTTTAGTGGCTTCATTTGCATCTACAGAAAATGACCTGTGGTCTCATCTCTTTTTCATGGCAGCATTTAAAAATCCTATATGAAAGCATCTCAGTGGTGTGTTAGCCTATGGGCAAAAAGAGCAATTGCCTGGGGTCTCTACTAACTAGGGTCCCAAATCAAAGCTGTTATAAGAAAATATATCCCCCAAAAAATTCCCCTGAAGAAAAATGCCTGAAGTCAACACTACATGGGACCCTTAATTCAACTTTGTCTGGGCCCCATGACGTTATAACACACCACTGAAGCACCTCTTGTTTCATCTCCATTTCTTGTTGCAATTTACAGTGCCTATGTATAATTTTTCTCTTCTCTTTCCCATTTATTCTGTTAACATATCTAAACCAATACAATATTTCTTTACATATATTTTCGTTCACTTAGCATTCCTTCAACTATATCCAGATTTCTAACACAATTATACCTTGTCACACCATGCCACATTTGTGAAATAACAAGCAGTTGTATGGCTTTCAAGATATATTAAATAACTTCTGTTTGATAAACAATCTTTCTTTAAAATAATAAAAGAGCTGCACACATTTAACAAAACTATTTATCATGTAAATTCAATTATCATTCTCTTTTATGTTAATAGATTTCTCATTAAACAAATGAGGTTAGCTGTACAATTAATCACCCGTCTAAACAACCAGACTGGTAACAGGGAAGGCCATTTATCATTATGATGATTCTTATTGAATTAACCTTCGAATTTTTGAATTAATGTCTTTCACTGTAATGAATTATCAATGTTAATTAAATGTTTTCAATGAAAAACAGCAGCTGCATTCTATCAGTATTCACTAACATGAAACATTGTGACAAACAGTTTACCTTATAGTGACATTTCTCTCAGTTTGCCTGTCAATAGCTAATGATACTTCGTGTATTTCCTTTTTTTTCCCCCTGTAATGTGAAGTTTACTTTCATTTAGTGTACAACAGTGATGGGCAAACTACGGCCCGCGGGCCAGATGCGGCCCCCTGAAATGTTCTATCCGGCCCGCGCGACATTATTCCTAATCTGACGAGTAAAAAAGAATACAGGCTGTGGTGGTTGATGCACCACTTAACTTGAGTGTTCGTTGATTATATAAAATAACCGAAGCTTTATATCTCACCATAAAAGTTTATTTACAATCATGTACAACATTTTGTTTTACACCTATTGAGTAAAAGCTCGATCGGTTACAAGCATGCTTCGGTACAGAACATCCACTCGTCGTGCGTAGCGTAGCCGAAAGAGATTAAAAGAAATATGACGGACGGCCTGCACATGTTTTTATAGCGCCACCTGGATTTTCAGATGCAGCGCTAGGTTACAATTATATTGGCCCGCCTAAAGTTTTCTTCTTTTCCTTTGGCCCGCTCTTTAAAAAGTTTGCCCATCACTGAGTGTACAATATTTTCTTGAAGTATGCAGATTTTAATTAAATTAAATTCTGGAAAGTCACTGCTGTTGTGTGTAGTATTTAATAGGGCCAACAGAGTGGCCCAAAAATCAGTTAACTGAGATATATTTTAATAATCGTTATCGTAGGGAAACATGGAAGTAGAAGCCAGTTTCCTGTAGGAAGTGCTCCTAGGAGGTGTCTCCCCTTGGCCATGGCCATCTAGATACTTACAAAGCCAAAACTTGACGTCACAACCTGTCTTGTGCCTAGAGCCGGCCCTACCATAGGGCAAACGGAGCAACCGCTCCAGGCGCTATGCCCTAGGGGGTGCCTCAGTGATAAAGAAAATTAAAGGGTATAAATTAGGGGCAACGAAGGGAGGCGCCATAATAGGATTTCGCTCCATCCTAAAACTTGCCTCGGACTGGCACTGCTTGTGCCATCATTTTAAAAGTTTTCAAGTGACAATGAATTAAAGATTTATTTTCTATCATGTTCCGCCATGTTGTCTTCGCTAAGCCAGTGGTCGCGCCGAGTGCATAAAAACCACTGAACACCTGTAGTTGGTCGTGGGTTCGCGCCTGGCGAACGGGTCACGTGAGTTATCCGGGTTTTCTTCAAGTCAGCAACACCTAAATAGGGGCCGGTTTTCCATAAAAGACCTCCCGGGAGGTTTTTCTCTTGGCAGATTGCCCAAGTGTCGCGTTACCTTAATGGAATAAAACCAAACCTGTCTGACAAGTGAGTAGCATTTAATAGGAACGTACTGTAGAGATGAGTTTTGTAAAAGAAAAAAAAATTGTAAATACGAATAACAAGTAAAACTATTAAATCCAACCCCATTTGAAATACGGGTATAACATATATCAAATAATTTTACAAACGTATAATTTATTTAATTAATCTTAAAACGGAAATTATTTTACACCATAAAACAAATGAAATGTTTGAATGAAGATCATTAAAACAAGGAAAAATACTAGTGTAATATATTTAAAATACTATTAATATATATTTTTTCTCATTAATGTAGTGAAAAATATTTTGAATTTAGAACAAAAAAAATGAGTTCTTGTAAAATAATTAAAAGGAATCGGAAATTAAAAGGAGTCGGAAAGAGTCGAATCCTCGTCTGAATCATCAGACTCTTCCATTTCTTTGGTATAATAAAAAATAGCCCGAGGAATGATTTTCTCTTTAATATATTGGGCAGTCATTGAGTCATTTTCCAATACTTCGCTTCTCCCTTGCGAATTTTTTTCCTGCTTCAACGAATTGAAAAAATCAAAGAAGGAACTTTTACGAACGATCTCGGATGATTTTTCTGTTTCGTTATTCTTTTTAAACGCGGATCGTGTGATGTCCTTTCCTTCTTTCCAGTCGATATGGCATCCTTCGCATTCCACGATTTCGGGTCCGACAAAATCGAAAGGTTCTTCCGGATCTACTTGGCATTTTATGCGACATTCTTTCGTCAGCACGGGATTATTGAAATATTCGTTAGGTTCGAAGTGGAATTCTAAGACGAAATCCATCCGATTATCCGAAACGTACTTTACGGTTACTTCTTTGAGGTGTTTCAGAACGAGTTCGTCCTCCTCCTTTATCATGGGAGACAATACAGAATTCCGAAACACCGTCAACCAAAAATCCGGAATTCCCAGCTTTTCTCGACGTTCATCCACTTTATTTTTCGATTCCATTCCTTCCGCTCCTCCTTTGATGTCCAAAGAAGGCTGTCTGATTCCATTGATAATTTCGAACCTGGTTTTCAGTAATGGTTTATAGATATCTGCATACTTCGTCTCCAGTTGTTGAACTTCCTTATAATAATTCATTTTGCTGCTGAAGTATCGCAATTGCAGATTTCTTAATTCCAGGATGCGTTTCTTCACGTCGGGTGCTACATCCCGAAGAACGTAGGACAAATAATCCTCAGCACTATTATCATTTGCTTCTACAGGAATGGCGTTGGGCTTCATTTCCATGCTGATCGTGGAAATATCGTTGACACACGTAGAATTTTTATCGCTCATCCTTCAGACTTCTAAATTTCTTTTTCCCTTCTCTCAGATTCGAAAAGAATTGCCCGTTTAAATTTAAACTTATTCGAACTTTAAAAGAAAATAACCTCGAAACCGGTGTTTAACTTCAATAATAAATTGCTAAAACTTTGTGTATATAAATATTTCTGAAACAAAGTACATTTCATATATACATATATATAGACCTGCATTTTAATAGACTAAACTTAATACCAACAAAAATCCAATGACGATATATATAAATATTTATCGATCTATTTTTACTAGTGGCGACCCGATCACACCTTCATTGATTGATCGATGAATAATAATACTTGTAACAGGCAGTTCATCTCAATTTAGATCTGTTTCCACATTAAGGGTACTGAAAGGACCTTTTTAATCATAAATATTAATCTGCTGCTCTGAGAGATGACGATCGAATCCGGACAGAGAATACTAGGAATTTTTACGCGCTTTCTGTCCTGGTTGAGCCCGTCTCTCACCACCCAGCCGTCCCCTTGGTGAAATTCGCAATGGGTCTGGTAAAAAGGTCCTTTTAGTGCCTACTGAGTAGAAATTGTTAAAAATTAAAAAGTTATGCCTATAGATTCGACCAGGCCGGGTGGTTAAGGCCCTACCGCTCTGGGGAACCCGAGTTCGAATCAGGACGGGTCGAAAAAATCCCGGGATATTTTTGGGGGTGATCAATATATCGGGCTCTGTCCATTACCTTAATGGACTTGCAAAAAAAAAGTTCCTCATAGTTCCCTATGTTATTTTATACTCATAAAATAACGTAGCCAAGAAACAATCCCCTCAGCATTTCTATGGATAATATACGGGTCGTTGCTCTCTCTCTCCTAGAATCACACAGGGGGTCACTACATAAATAATGAAATAACATTTCTTCCGTGAGCAATTTAATGATTCCAAAGACATTGTGTATTCAAATTAGGAAGGCCTCCAGTGAACGAGTGAATAAAAACCATTGAACATTGATAATCGGTCGTGGGTTTGCGCCTGGCAACGGGCAGGTCACGTGGAGTTTTCCGGGTTTTCACGTTTGTAACACCTAAATACGAGGCCAGTTTCTCATAGAAAGTACCCCTCGCCAGATCACCCGCGTGTCGCTTTGCCGTGTACAAAAAAACAAAAAAAAAATGGCCTCATCAGTCATTACGTACATTACGAGGTATATACTTCACTTCCCTCGAAATCGAAAGTAAATCTCTTGTAATGTACTGTACTTTCGTTTTGAAATCGAAAGTACATTACAAGAGTACATCTTAAAGTGACGTCAGTTGCTATCACTTTCCTTAATTAACAGAACGGTCATCGTGAGTTGACCGTTCTCTTACGGAAAGTGAAAGTTAACACCTACAGTTAAGCATTTTAAACGTTCATTATAATAATACCGAGATTATTATAACTCTAATTAGCGAGATATGAATTAATATAATAATATACATACCAAACAAGGAAAGTAAAACAAGAAAATTGAATTTCATTTTCACAATTTGCATTCCTTACATCTAAGTTAACCTCCAGGTCAAGGCTCACTTCAGATGTTAGATACTACTCGTACACTATTTTTATAGCGATTTTGTAGAATTTAATCCTCTCGTCTAATGAATTACATCACTTGTATTTATTTATTGTGTCAATAAGAAATTCCAAACACAAATTTCCATTTTTAATAATTAAAGTGATGAGTCGCGTATTTTAATCTCTAAATTCCAATCGTTACGAATAGAACCGTGACAAGTAAAAACTGAAAATATGTTTTCATATTCGTGTGTCATTCTATATGTTATTTATGATAATATAGGGTATAATAAATCATAGTCTCGGACTGCCTATACGGTTAGTCGGTTTGCAGCTCTGGGGACTCGGAATCGAGTCTTGACAGTCGAAAAAAATCCCATAAATTTTTCGGGATTTATTGGATTTTCGCCCCGCCACCCGGTTCCCATTGTGGGCACTCACCAATAGACAGAATAGACAAAACCTGCGAACACTCGGTCTCCATTATGGGCACCCAACAATGGACGAAGTGGACAACACCCGCGAATACTTGTAGTCGGTCGCGGGTTTGCGCCTCAAAACAGGGCTAGCCACATGCAGTTTTCTGAGTTTTCTCCGTGTGTCTAACACCTAAATGGGCCAGTTTTCCGTGTGTGGCATCCCAGTGGCAAATTACACTCGTGTTGCGTTGACGTACATCAAATCAAAATCAATCAATTGTGGGCTTCAGTGACCCGTGACGGGTACGAAATATTAATAGAATACAAAAGGTTTTATCATATTCCATTAATATTTATTGTAAATAAGTATTTTAAATTATAATATTAATTTCTCGGTTGTTATACAGTAACATAACACGGGAAGCTGTTGTAATTGTCTCAAATTTTTAATTTCCTGTTAATTTCCTAGCTGTTGTAACGTAATGCGGGTTACTTTCCGGCTGTTATAATATATTGTTATCGTGTCACATTTGACCCTTTGGGTTTTTTGGAATCCCGATGTTTTGATATATCTTCTGAACCCAAAAATGTCAAAAAAAACTGATACCCGGGATACAGTGCGTGGGTGCTTCTATTTCATTTAATATCTCAG